GGGGGGTTGCGGTGCATGCCTGGATGATGGAAAGCATTTTTTTTCGGCGTTTTAGGGGTTGAATATATATATATATATATATGGATACCCCCCGGTACATGGAAAGAACAAAGATAATCTTTCATTTGGAAAGAGTAAGGAATGTCTAGCTACTACTAACTCTCAACCTTTGGCTGGCTCTCAGCCAACTTAATCTTGCCCGCCTCGTCATACACAATCTCGCGAATCTTGACGCACCGCAGGTGATTCACGCCCTTGCTGAGACTCGAGTCGTGGTAGAACAAATACCATTTCCCCTTGAACTCGGCAATACTATGATGCGTCGTCCACCCAATCACGGGTTCAAGAATCCTTCCACCATACGTAAACGGGCCCAGCGGGTTATCTCCAACCGCATAGCAAAGGAAATGCGTATCACCGGTCGAGTAAGAAAAGTAATACTTGCCGTTATACTTGTGCAACCACGCGGCCTCGAAAAACCGCCTATCGTGATCCTGCGCCTGGATCTGCTTGCCGTCCTCGTCCAAGATGACCACATCGGTCACGTCGGAGGCGAAACTCTTCATGTCGTCTGTTAGCTTCCCGACTTTGGCGCAGAGCGCAGGACCGGATTGCGCTTCCATGGTCTCGTAGGCGCTGCGCTCGAACTTGCCCGTCTGCCAGCACTGCAGCTGGCCGCCCCAGATGCCGCCAAAGTAGAGGTACGCAGCGCCGTCGTCGTCGACGAAGACGGCAGGGTCGATGCTGAAGCTGCCCTTGATGGGTTCGGGTTCAGGCCTAAAAGGACCTTCGGGTGTGTCGCCCTCTGCGACGCCCACGCGGAAAATGCCTTCCTTGTCGCGGGCCGGGAAGAAGAGATAGTATTTCCCGTTTTTGGTGGCGGCGTCGGGAGCCCAGAGTTGCTTGCTGACCCAGGGTATGTCTTCCTGGCGGAGAGCGACGCCGTGGTCGGTTACGGGGCCGCCGACGGAATCCATGCTTAGGACGTGGTAGTCGTTCATGTCGTATTGGTCGCCATTGTCGTTGTTGGGGATGTTGGACTCGCGGTCGTGCGAGGGGTAGATGTAGAGTTTGTTGTTGAAGACGTGGGCGGAGGGGTCTGCGGTGAAGATGTGGGTGACGATGGGGTCTTTGTCCGCCATGTTTATTCCTTTCTCTTTCTCTTTTTTTTTCTCTTTTTCTCTACGGGTGTATATGGGATGATTGGATGGATATGGAGGAGAGAGGAAAGAAAAAGAAGATCAATGGTTCAATGGGATTGTATATATTTCACTACGACAAGCCCCCGTTCTTATGAATGGAGGGGTATTTCTTGTTGCCCCACGGTTCCCTCGCTCTCCCCTCATGCTCCCACCGGACAAGCTCCCCTCTCTATTTACCCGCCGGCACGGCTATCCCCCCAAGGCCAAGCTCTCTTCACTTGGGCATCCAAGACGGTTCATAAGAATATCCACCTGCCTCTGCTCAATGGCGCGGGTTTACACATGTTTCGTCCCGTGTTGGATGTTGTGACGAGGTTCTGGTGACGTTGGGTGTTTAGCCGTGTATTCTTCCGCTCCGCCCACCCCATGGAGCCGCTCTCTTTTTTGGGGGGGAAAAGATTGAGATTTGGCAATCAATCTGCCTCGGGTCGACGGGCCTCCTGCGTTTTACCCGCCCTGCGATGCGCTTGTCGCGTAGAGTTCCATGTTGGGAATGTTTGGTCATGGGAGGAGATACGTAAGTAGTTGGACTAGAGACATACTATCTTCGCACGTGTCCTCTTAAGTGGGTTGTTGCTCAAGCCATGCCGTTGTTCTTGGTAGCAATAAAATCTTTGATACTTTCCAACTGCTACACAACCTAGAAACCAGCAATGTATCGATGCTCAGCAGTTACTTCCGTCACCTCAAACTTCATTCCCACCCTTACTTCTCCCACCGTCCTTGGCACAGCCAACATGCCATAGCAGGGCTTATACGTGATGCCCTCGTCAATCCTCCGGTACTTCATCAAGATATCCCATGGCTGCGTCTTGTGCTTCTCAGCTGTGTCGGGGTCAACATTCGGCACCTGACAGCGTGCGCACCGCTGGGTAATGTCCAGGACGATGGGTTTCTCGCCAGATGTTGGTGTAATCTTGATGGTCTTCCAGCGATCTTCATCCCACGGTGCATTGCTTTCGCCTTTGACAACAATATTAGGTCGGAAGCGGCGGACATCAATAGTATGGTCTGCGGCTGCTTTGATACGCGTGTTGAGTTCATCGATACTACTCTTGTTGCCGACTAGAATAGGCATTAGATCTGGGAAACACGTCGATGCGTCTCTTCCCAGGACAGCTGGTGCTCCATTCGAGACGAGTGGTCGAGGATCGTCAGATACGGGCGGCTTATATACGAGTCGTACTTCCCTGTCGAAGAAGGCATTAAAGGGAGCAGTCAGCTCGGGAGAGTAGACGCGAGTTCCCGTCGTCGTACTCCAAATCTTTGCTGAATGGTCTTCAGTGCTCTCATCAAGCCACTCCTTTGACGGATGGGCTGGGATAGAAAACTCAAGCTTCTCATCTATCGAGTTTGGTGCTGGCGCGGTGACGGTCAGAGTATCAGTTGACTCATCGTAGGTAGGCCGGATCAAGGTCATTTTGGAGTTTTGGCGGATAGTGAGGAATTCGTATTCTGGATAGCTCACCCACATCCATTGACGATCTGGCACGGTTAGTATCCTCGAGTCTAGTAATGTGACTGCATTGGGAAAATGCATACCGAGATCGAGACCTGTAGGCAAGAGCTTTGCCGACTGTACTGATATCCCATGACATGACTTGATTGGGTGTATGAAGAGCGAGGTAATTTCTGTCGGCGGGGGTAGAGGCCCAGCTTTCTTCTTCGACTGCTGGCTCTTGGTGAAATACAGATAAGTGAGGATGGGCAGGACGAATGCCGACAATATGACCGCAGCTTGGGTAGTACGTGAAGGCCCCATTCTCGCGGTGTCGTTGCGACTCGCAAGCTGCAACTCCAAAACTTCCAGACGCTCAAAAGCGCTGTGGTTCCTATAGTTCAATTGACGCTGATGTTTTGCAGACTGTACAATCTTATATCTCCACCCAGTATTTAGTGGCGATGTCAGACCAAATACAGCTACAGGGCGCGCTTTGATAAGCAAAGTGCCCAGCCAAGTCCAATAGCCGACTTGTTACTCATTCGAACGATGCCCCGCAGCATTCGAACCACAAATAACGACGTGCGAGGATGACGCAAAAGGGCGGGGAGAGAACTGTCATGAAAAAGGCCTAGCGCTGCCGAACCCGATCTGCAGCAACTCCGCGGCATCTTCGACTTCACTAGTACCCGAATACTCCTTGTATCCACCGCATTTCCTGCATCCCAACCTCCATTTCCTACGACCAATCTACACTAGACGACCTTGTCTTTTTGGCACTAGATATGTATCCCTCCATCAAATCCTCGTCAGGATCAGACTCCACAACGTCTCGCCTTCGCTTCCCCTTGAGCACGTCAATCTCCTCCTTCAACTGACTGCAATACGCTTCCAGCTCATCTTTCTGAACCACTTGTCTTTCTAGCTCTCGTACACGCCATAACAGCTTGACATTGTTTGCCTTCCGGATCTCGCATTCGCGCTCCGCGGCATCTGCGCGTTGGCGCTGCTTCTCGAGTTCGACCTGTGTGTCGCTCGGCGCATTGTGTCTACGTTCTTGGATTGCTTCGAGTTCTTCGAGACTCTGCTGGGATTGTATGAGTTGGTGTTCCTTGTGCGAGAGTTCCTTGCGGAGCTTGGTGGCTTCGCGTCTGGTTTCGATGCATCTGGTGTTTGCGCAGCACTCGCTATTCAGAGTCCTGTTTCCTCCTGGAGTAGCCGATTGGTGCATTGGAAGGCGTAAATCATCATCGTATGTGTCTTCTGTGATGTATGTGATGTCTTCGGCGACGTTTGCCATGTATCTCTGATACTCCGCTTTGGACATGCCGACCGAGTCCTTCAGTTGATCGTATTGGTCGTAGTTGCAAGGATATCTTTCATGAAACGAGCCTTTTAGAGATGCGCTATGCTTGCGATCTTCAGCCGATTACATGGCGTGGTATCGCAGCAGGACCGACCGCTGGTAAGCAATGCTGGCTGGAAGATCTGGGTAGCCGTAGTAAGGGCGAACCTCCTCGATGGTTGCCAAAGTCACATAAGGCCATGTCCTTGGATCCTTCTTGTCGTAGTGGGGTAGGAAGCTCTTGATGTTGCTTTCTAATCGGCTCGATATGAAGCTAAAAGTGCCTTGATATGGTAAGATCTCACGCATGGTGAGTCTGAAAGATGTTAGTGGATTGCGGTACTCCATATCCAAGGCCGGGGTATGTACCTGGACATCACCAAGGTAAGAGAATATCGTATTATCTTAATTGCGAGTGAGAAGTTATGGAACAAAGGAGGTTTAAGAGAGCCATTGTATCACTTCGCGGGACCTTGCGGTGAGAATGAGTTTTGTCGAGTTGGCGCCCTATACTTCCTCACCTTCACCGCAAACTGATTTCCCCGCAACTAATTCGATATACAGCTTGGATATCACTGTGAAATCAGGGTCATCGAGTAAGTACAGTTCGTAACGCCAGAGCACAAGGCAGAACATTGCAGTGTCAATCCAGGCAAAGACTACTGATCAATCATGACACGCACAGCAAACAAGAGGCAAGATTCTTTACAATTCCGAATTTCTAATACATGTTCATGATGTCGCAGGTAATAATCCCACATCCGCCTTCACCACCGTGATCCTGCCCCATACCCGTGCACGCCAAACGCGTGTAAGGTGCATCAGCAATGTTCTGTTGCATGACCCTAACCAAGGGTTTTCAGAGGGACTACAACTCTTATCTGCCCTCCGGATATAATATAACATGTTGTGGAAATCGAACCCGAAAAGTTTATACAAATACAATTTCCCATACAGACAGTCTTGGTGATTTGCTCGAAGCGGATGGGGCGGTGACTGCGTATGGTAGTAGAATGAAAAGAAGGGGAAAACTGAGTGGCTGCTTCTGTTGCGGATGGTAAGAGGTCAGCACTGTTGGCATACGAAGAAAAGAATGAAGATGCATCAGCAAACACCACGTACAATGGATGAGAGGGACAAAGGAATACACAAACCTATGAGACCACGAACCCAGACGATGCAAGGATAGCATCTTCTAAGCCTTCTGGCTCGTCTTCTTGACAGAACCCTTGTTGGAGATGCGCTTGGAAGACCTAGTTGACTTCGTAACGGGAGTCTTGGTCGGGACCGTAGCAGGCGACACACTCTTGCCGGGGAGCTCGGGAAGAAATTCGATAGCAGGAACCTGCTCGCACTCATTTCCCTCAAGCATCTGGAGGATGACGTCGACAATGTCGCGAACTTCCTTATAGGTCTTGCCACAACCAAGCGACAGGTCCAACTCACGGAGCACTTCGACGGGCGCCTCAAAATGCTTGCCTGGAGCAGGCGCAACGCAATTCTCAGCATCTTCGGCGCTCATACCTGAGGCCACATGGCGCGAGTACTGGTTCAGGCGGATCTCTTCTGACTTCTTGAGCGTGACCTTGTACGTGGTACCGGGAAACTGCTTCTCAATGATGTCGAACTGACGCAGAATGAGGTGAACCTTGCGGATCTGCCACTTTGTCTTGTCGTAAGTCGCACGCTGGTAGTGCTTGCGGCAGAAGAGTGGCCACTCTGTAATGTCACGCGTACAGGCCTTGTTGCGGCCAAAGTGATCCGAGATGACCTTGCGCGACAGGTCTTTGGTGTACTGACCGGTCTGACAACGTGTGTGTCGGTCGTTCATGCAGATGAATTCGCGCTGGGAGTCGGGGACTTCGTCCTCGTCCTCGTCATCTGCTTGCTCTGAGCTACTACCAGGCACTACCTGTTGACACAAGGCCTTTTAGTCTCCGTTCTACGCATCTTTTTGGAGCGCGTTGCAGTGGTGCAATAAGAGGGACTCAGAAACAAGTGCTTAGCGATGCAAACACTTACTGGCTCGGCCACAGGGGTGTCTGAGGACACACTAGGCGGCGAGACCTCATCTTTCATACAAGTGGGCGGATCATGAGGCGAAGCTGGTTCATGTGCCTCGCCCCCCTTGAGGTCCGCAGTTGGCTTGTTCAAGAAGTTGTTGAGGCTCATGGCTTTGCGGATGATCTCAGCCCTAGTGATCTCAGTCGGGAGGGGGTTTGTCGGGAGATCAACCTTGCAGTTGGTGGACATGCTGAAAGCGCTGTTAAGAAGAAGTCTAGAACGGAATGGTGATGAGATAGAGTGATGGAAAGATGTTAGTCTATTGGCTTGACAGCGTTCAGTCCCGGACGAGGTCTCGACGCTGCTGGGCGAGAGGTTTTTGAAGTGGGAAAGAGAGTACGTGGCGGTAGGATTGCGGCAGGCAGACAAGTAGTGAATTCAAGTCCCCAGTGACAATAGTCGCGCCGTTTGAGTCAAATCTTGGCCAGCTCACCCTCATTGATGCGCAGTGATGAACTGCATGATGCAGCCGCAATTCACTGCAGTGATGTACGATTCGACGAGCATAGCTCAAAACCAAGTGAGACTCGCCAAACAACCATGTGCCCCGCAATTGAAGCCAGCTGCGAATTCCATGGGATACGATGACCTGACAGGTGACTACGCAGCGTTTCGTTTGCATGTGGCCCTCATACCTCTACACCATGAATGGACCGTCACGCGCGATCAGCCTTAACCAAGATGATCACATATCAATCATCGAATGGACATATGCAGCGATTGGTAACGACCGGGCATCGTGGTGTTGGAGTGACCTCCAACGAAGACAGCATTAGACAAACGCGAGGGAGACGTGACGGAATCTCCTGACAGTGCTCACAAAGACTGGAGATGAATCAAAGAAGTATTGCCTCTAGAATCGACCAAGAGTGAATAGATTAAAGCATGTGGTTTTACGCATGTTTGCAAATTCCCAGATTTGGCACTAGGAAGTGACTAATACGGTAGGAGGTAATGAGTTTGGAAGCGACAACCTACGTGTACTACCTCATTCGACAAAACTGCCGAACCACCACTACAAGGCCGCTTTCGAGGACCTTGAATTATATACGATGGCTGATCAATCAATTTTCATGAACGCCTGGTCATCTTGGAACAGCAGATTGAACGAAGCCCCTGCATCTCTGATTGTTCGAATTCGAGTATCTTGGCAGTCAACGGTACCTGGAGCTCGGTATGATCAAGGGCTTGAGAACCATATAATGGCCGATGAACGAATTGAAGAATGTAAAAATCCCATATTCTAGACATCCAATCATAAAAAGAGGTAGTCGTCTCAATCGGCACGCGACAATAGTCTTCCTAAGGGACTTTGATGGGTGAAGGAATTATGGGCCGGAGCTACGCCTATGGACCCTATCGGCACAGAAACAATCCCGGACAGAACTTCTGGACATATCAGCGCAAACGAAGAAAATCTACCATGAAGGCATTATGCATTTGCAATGGGAAAAGTCGAGTCAAGTTGGAAAGCGAGGTCGCCTTTGCTTAGTCACCTATCGGGGGGAGCTAGCAGCGATAACGGACACACGTGCGCGAAGAGGCTCAATTCCGTCAACAGCCTTGGCGTCTTTTCGCGCTTGTCGACGGGTAGTGAGGAGCTCCTGGTCAACGCTGCACTCTGTTTCTCCGACAAGCAAATCGCTGGGCACGCCAGCAAACCCTCTCTTGTCGCTTGACATGCGCCCATACGTCATTTCTATTACAAAAGTCCATTCTACCCACCCTCTTCTGGGTTGAGCGCGTTCGCGGCCTCTCCAACGCCATCCACCCGACCCAGCGCTCCTCCAGCCACGATGCCGCCCAACACAGGCACACGAACCTCTACGAGACAGGGCAGGGCCACGGTCCGGCCTACAAACTACTATGCGCGCACCTTTGCCGGTCGACTTGCTGCCAGCGGAATGGAACAGACACCAGAGGCCTCGACCAGCGCGCCCGGCTTCCTGCCAGCTCTCACACACTTCACAGGCGCCGTCGATGCATTCCCCAAGGAAATTATCAAGCACTTTTCCATGTTCAAGGAGGTCGAGGCTAAGCTACACGATCCGGAACACTTGCTTGAGGAGTTGCTCGACGAGATTGCCCACCAGCCCGTCACAACAAGGGCTCAAGCATCAGCTGCCGGCCAGAATGCAGCGGGAGCGGAAAACAGCGCCAACGTAAGTCCCGACGTCACATAGGGTAGCTGTAAAAGCTTAACACCTGCAGTCGTCCCAGAACCCTGAGACCCTCTCTCCGGAAGAGCAGGCCGCGATACGGAAGCGCCAGCTCTTCTATCGCCTGCGCATGCTCATCGCAAACATGCTCCCTACGCTCGACGAGAAACTGGTAGTGCTTCAGGGCGCAAAGGCCACCAAAGACAAAGGCCTCATGCGGATGCACCACTCGTACGCGCAGCTCGATGGCGAGATCAGCGACGAAGCACGATACGGTAGCCTCACCCACTGGGCTTATGCAGACAAGGAGGAAAAGAAGAAGGGCGGCCAGTCCCACGAACGGCAGCGGCGTGAAGTAGCAGCGGCGAATAACCTTGCGGCAGCGGCCCAACACGTGCATGATGTTGACTCCATTGCTGCAAAAAGCGAGGCCCGGCGCGAGGCGATGCACGCGAATAAACGCAATCGGCACCAGCAGGTTGATTCGGACTTTGATGACCGACCAGCGAAGAAACCCCAGAAGAGGAAGCCAGCACCTGCGGAGACGGCGCCCACACCTGAAAACAGAGGGATTGGCCTGGGTATATCGAGCAATGGTGCAGGTCCCAATGGCAAGCGAAAGAAGACGGAAAAGGCCCTCGCTGCAGCGGCACCGGCTGCCCCTCCCATGGAACGGTCCACAAGCAGTGCCCTGAAGGCTGTCAGCAATGGAGCACGAGGTGGATCAAGCCCGCGAGGCACGCCAGTCCCAGAGAACAGCGCTGCGAAGCGCAAGCCACGAGCAGCTCCTGCGCCCGCGCAACGCAAAAACCCAATGCCAACATACTCGCCGCCTATGGCCGCATCGCCTCTCGCTGCTAACTTTGCCATCAATAAAGCCATTGCTGGCGCAGCAGATCGACCCCTGTCAGCGCGGGCTCGCAAGAATTCTACGGCAACGTCTGTGACATCAGGCAAAGATCAGGACGTCCCACCCGGACGTCGACCGTCCTCTTCCCACTCTGTACAGCAAGTTCCAACCAGCAACGTGATTGCCGAAATCGAGCAAGCTGCTGGCATTGCGCGGGACAATGCCTCGACCAAAGTGACATCAACTCCGAAAGAGCCTGCAGACGCACAACCAACATTTGAAACATCGAATATGAAGGTGGAAGACCTGGGGCAGCCAGAACCAGAGAGCATGGAGATTGATGCCCCTGCGCCGGCCCCAGCCTCAGGCCGACCCGGCCGAACGTCCAAGACTTCGACGCCCGTTGTCGGCGCCTTTCCCGAGGTAGCCATGTCGCGGAGCCGCAGTAGCCGCAATGCGAACAACGGCGGCTCCAACACGTCGTCGGAAAACAACAGTACAACTACTGGCACCGTGTCGAAACGGGGCCAGAAGAAGAACGCACAACAAAACACCAATGCTGGAAATGCATCTCCAGCGATGAAGGCCACGTCCCAGGTCAAATCGAACCCTACATCATCGGCGGCAAGCTCTGTTGCACAAGAACAAGACTATCAAGAAGCCGAGCCCGAAGCTGAGGCTGAGGTGGAATCAGAAGAAGACGGAGACGAGCCTCGATATTGCTACTGCAACGAAGTGTCGTATGGCAACATGATTGCCTGTGACAACGATGACTGCCCGCGCGAGTGGTTCCATCTCGGCTGCGTACACCTTGAGAAGCCGCCTACGGGGCGGGCGAAATGGTTCTGCAGCGACGAGTGCAAGGACACACATGCCAAAGCCAAGGCTAAGGGGGGCCGTCCGGGAAGTAGTCGACAATAGGAATTAGGAAGGAGTTCAAGGCGTTCTGGGACGGGTCCGGCGACAGCTGGGTCTAGGCAAGGCCCGAAGGGAAAGGGCAAGGCTAGGTTAAATCTCTGGGATGGTTGGAATGCTCTGTGAGGGCTTCCGGCTTGGGTCTGGTTTTCTTTTGATTCTTCTGTGTGGGTTCTGGCGGTGTTTTCTTTTCTTCTGTGGAAAGGCAGGTATCGTGGCACTGTTTTTGCTACTTCGGTGGTAGTTGGGCGTGCGATATCCATCGTGGCGGACTATTTGGCGTTTTGCATGGTTGGATCCTGCATTGAGAAGCGCATCCTCGAGTACTCATCGCTTTTATTGCATATGAGCCCATCATCATAGTCCCTTTGTGTAGCATAGCTGATTGTAGATAATCATATTCTGAACACGCTGTTAGTGGTGTCAAGAGTAGTGGAAGCCGAAGGGTCTGACGCGTGTGCACGGTACTTGGTCGTGTGTGGACTGGCTGCCGGATCCCCGCCAACCCCCAGCACTGCCCCTGGAGATCCACTCCTGTCGTGAAACTGCCTCGCTGTGATTGGCTGTGGTATAAATGCCATGCAGTACAGCCAAACGGGCCATCTGGACCCTGGCGCGCTAACTCGCAGCAATGATGCAGCATACCTCACCGCTTGAAGAGGCGGACATAAGTGCTTCAATTCCATAGATTGCTCGTTTTGTCCCGTTGTTCTTCAATTCACTCTGACGACTCTGCAATGGCACCATCAGAAACCCCTTCAGCCGAGGAGCAGCTCATCTGCGAGCCTCAAGGCGGGGTCCCAAACGCCCCGCCAGACCTTCGCTTCCTACATTACAATGATGTTTACCATGTCGAAGCCGGATCTAGAGAGCCAGTTGGAGGTTATGCGAGGTTTCAGACTCTGGTCAATTACTACCGGGATGATGAGAGGTTCCAAGGGCAGCCAAACCTCTTGACCTTCTTCTCCGGAGATGCCTTCAATCCAAGCATTGAAAGCAGCATCACCAAAGGTCAGGACACCAACATTGTTGAGCTTTGTTGAGAGATAATCTGACAGACACAATTAGGCCGTCACATGGTACCTGTACTCAATACCATTGGTACAGACGTGTCTTGCGTTGGTGTAAGTACATCCATCTCCTTGAGTTCAGCCATATCTGACCCTCAACCAGAATCACGACCTCGATTTTGGCGTCAAGCAGTACCGCTACCTCACAGGCAAATGCAAATTCCCATGGCTTCTTGCCAACGTTCACGACCCAGCTCTCGGCGACGGTGTACCGCTCGGAAACGCGGAGAAAACAGTTATCCTCACGGCATCCAATGGCATCAAAGTTGGTGTCATTGGACTTGCTGAACGAGAGTGGCTCGATACAATCAACTCTCTACCACCAGATATCATCTATAAAAGCGCGTCAGAGACGGCAAAGGAGCTCATTCCGGGATTGAGAGAGCAGGGTGCTGAGATTATTGTTTGCGTGTCGCATCAGCGTGAACCAAATGACAACAAGCTGGCAAAGCAATGCGGAGGAGAGTTGATTGACATAATCCTCGGTGGCCATGACCACTACTACTCGTACAGCCTCATCAATGGAACGCAGGTACTGAGATCCGGTACAGACTTCAAGCAACTCTCACATATTGAAGCATGGCGAAGGCCAGAGGGTAAGGGCTGGGACTTTAAGATTGTGCGACGGGATGTCGTCGGCAGCATACCTCAAGACCCACAAGCCATGGCATTGGTCGAGGAGCAGACACGAGAGATTAGGAAGAGGCTGGATAAGCCTATTGGATACACTGCCGCGCCTCTCGATGCCAGATTCACCACTGTACGAACAAAGGAGTCAAATATAGGCAACTTTGTTTGTGACCTCATGCGATACTACTACTCAGCCGATTGTTGCATCATGGCAGCAGGAACTATCCGGGGTGATCAAATCTACCCACCTGGCGTGCTGAAGCTGAGAGATCTGGTCAACTGCTTTCCGTTTGAGGATCCTGTCGTTGTTCTCAAAGTCACTGGTAAAGCAATACGAGAGGCACTGGAGAATGGTGTGAGCAACTACCCAGCCTTGGAAGGCCGATTTCCCCAAGTCTCAAATATTGTCTTTGAAGCAGACTATTCAAAGCCGCCTCACTCGCGCATCAAGAGCGTTATGATTGGCGAGGAGCCAGTGGATGAGACAAGAGAGTACGTGCTAGCTACGAGGGGGTACATGGGTCGTGGAAAAGGTACGTCATTTCATCTTTGTTGATATCCCCTAAGAACCTTGCGGCTAACATTTTTAAAACTAGATGGCTACACATCCCTCCTGATCGAAGAAGAAGGCGGCGTCGCCAAAGAAATCGTATCCGAAGAGAACGGCGTGCTCATCTCCACCATTCTGCGCCAATACTTCATGTCGCTCAAAGTCATGGGCAAATGGAAGCGCTGGGGCGACTCAATGAACAACAAATTCAACTCTATCCAAACTAACCTCCAGAAAAACCACGGTCACGCATTCCACGACCCCTCACCTCGTTCACCAGACAAATCCACACCCGCTCAGCACCCCAGCATAAGCAGAGTCGTCGGCCAGTCCAGTCCACCTGATTCATCGGAATCGTCAGACCCGGATGCCGACGAGGACGAAGACGATGGACCCTTGATTGCAGAAGACAAATCAAAGCCCATCAAGTTCTCAGACCACCAGATCGAAATGGTCCGCCGCGTAATGCGTAAATGGTGGCGCGTAGCAGGTCTCAAGGGCAACCCTTCGCTCTGCGATGAGCTAGGCGGCGGCGAGTTCCAGGTCAATTGGACACGAGCTATTGC